CACCTGAAGGAATGCTCAGAGTGATGGCCTTGAAGGTAATTACAGACGCAGCATCTTATTCCACCGAGAGAAGAGGAGAAAGACGAAGAAAGCCCTGAGTTTAGAGAGTGGTTGTTTTGTTTTAATTAACTTTTACCAACCCCCACCACATGAGCCTCGTCTGACATCTCTTAGAGGTTTATGCAGGTTGTGATTGATCACAAAAATACACTGAACCCATGCAAAAAAATGATTAATCTGACTATCAGTGAAATCAAGGGATTCCATTGACCTCACCCACTTCACTCAAATGACCCTTGATTTCTTATTTTTCTCTTTTCTTCCAGCTCTTTTAAATCTCACATGCTAAACAAAAGCTGCCAGTGGTGGTGGAGGTATTAAGCAAATACGCTCATTAGTACACAAAACATAATGAATATGTAAATGATGTGTGTAATTTATGCATGCGCTGAGAGACTTGCTCACTTTTTAGTCCTTTATTGTATTCATTCTTTTTTTTATCCCCTTTTCCTAAAAATTGACTCTTCACACCAATTCTCCTTTTTCCTCTTATTATTGAATAAATGTGAGACATATTGATGTTTCACTGTTGTCTCTTATGGGTTTATTTTCTTTTTAAACATTCTCCCTGCCTTTAACCAGGGTTTGTAGAGTCTGATATTCTCCCAGACTCTCTTCCTCAGTTTGCTTCCTTCTGCACACAGCCTATCCTCTCTAAAAACAAACCCTGCAGTGACGCATTAAACCAACAACAGGGTGTTTGATCAAGGTCTTTCTTCCAGGAATATGAATACTGAATAATCTATCTGTTAAATCACGTCGACTGTGTTGTATTCGCATTTTCTCCCTTTGTCCCTCTACAACTGTCGATCTCGATGTGTGGTCCAGACTGTGTGGTAAATTGAAGCATGTCCTCACAGACGGTGAGTAGCCTTGCTCCTGTCTTGGATAAACACCTATGATACTCTGGCTCCCTTGGCAATCACCATAGCAACAAACCATGGTACCCACGTGAGTTGCATAATAAGATGTTCCCAAAGACCACAGACCATAAAGCGGCGACAAACTAGATACCCGCAGCGATGAATGTGAATCAGAAAATACCCATCCAAATGTCTAACCCCACCTCGGAATCATTCCAGAACAATCTCTTCTATTTATCAACAGGCACCCCGAAGACACACATGCACCTTCTCTCTGTCTCTCCAGACCTTAACAGGTGCTGATGAGCCGCAGTCAATGATTGTAATGAGCTATCGATCACCGTGGGAAAACAGAGGGACAGAGAGGGGTGAGGAAGGCAGGGGGAATCAGAGGACACACACACACACGCACACGCAGAAGGAGGTGGACTGCAAGGAAAAAGAAACCTTCAGATGAACTAAATGGAGACAAGTTGGCCAAGACAGAGTATCAATACTTGCTTTAATCAAGTCCTTATCTCCTTTTGTTCTGCTTAAAAAAGGAATTCATGGGAAAGCACTTTCTGCCAGTGCAGGTTGAAAAACGCTTCAATGCTTTGTAGCTTCTGGACCCATCTGAACTACTCACGATGACCATGCAGACATGCTTGTCATGACCAAGTCCAGATGCCAGCAGATGCCACTGACGCAGTATCTCTATTTTCCTGTCTTTTGTGCTGTGTGCATTGAGTGCAGGCAGACAGCTTTAGGGAAGGGGGAGGTGCGTTGCGTGTGTGTGTGTGTGTGTCGTGTGTGTTGGCTGGCGTTTCGGATAATGAAATGCAGCAGGGAACAAAGAGCTGGGGGCCCCTATTCTCTGTGCTGCAGCTTCATTTTCACTCCCGTCAGTCTATGATTCTTGCATACCCTCTTTTTTTTTTACGTACATGTGTGTGTGTGTGTGTGTGTGTGTTTGTGTTTGTATGAGGGGTTTGTTGTGCGTACCTGCGTCCCCTCCTCCTCCTCCTGTTAGTATTCTGCATGGCAGATCCCCCTAATGTAATAACTGTGTCTGCATGTCTAATTTACAGCAGGAGAGAGTAAATAGCCTGTGGTTAATTACAGTATGTGTATGTCTATGCATGTGTGTGTGTGTCTTTGCGTGTCTACATGCGCGTGGGTGTGTCAGAATGATTTATGAGTTGCAAATAGCTACACCAGTGGCCCGTTTCTCCTCACTTAGTTTTTAATCTGTCTTTCCATTAATTTTCCTGGAGACGTTATTATGGTTTTATAACAGTGTGCACGGGGGATGCACATGTGAGTGCACGCATGTGTTAATGAGACAGAGGTGTGGACATTTTGTGAGGAATCAAGGTTACTTGGGCACAACAGCTGTACTTTGCTTCCCCCTCCCCATTTCTAACTTCCCCATTTCCCTCACTTCCTGTCCCTTCTTCTCTTTCCCAGTGCTTCATTCACTCTCTTCATTGAGAGCCACAATGAACACAGATCTTTATTGACAGTACATGGTAGAACATGGAAACAGCAGGTCAATCCGTTTAGCCCAAGGGCCGATACACCAATTCACCAATTTGTCAGTGTTAGTTTGAGAGAGAAAAGCAGCTAATCTCTCCTCTCTGCTCTCTATTGATCACACACTTAGACTCCACTTCTCTGTCTAAACACTATTGATTCCCTCTCTCTCTCCATCTCTTTCTCTCTCTCTCTCTCTTTCTGTCCTGCTCTCGCCACATACCACAGCTCTTAACACATCTTCCCCTTTTATACTCCAACTACTTCTCAAATAATGCCAGCATGATTGACTCGTACTCGTCGACGTACATGAAGCCCATAGTCACATATTACACAACTACTTGAGAATATTTAGGCATGAGCAAAAAAAAAAAGACTTTTAGTTACATCAGCATTAACGTTTTAAAAGTGAACTACATAAAGCATCCTAGAGTTGGGTCCACAAGTGCCACCCATGGTTGTCCCTGCTGTGTGCATTTAAGCTTATGCATGACATCATTTTAAAAAAAAAAAACCTATTAATTAGCTGGACCCACTGCACAAGTCCAGATCATGAATACAAATTCTCTGCTGGGTGTACAGTCTCCTGGCTTTGTTGTGCAGTCTCTACACCACAGGCTGCACTTGAAAAGGACTACATTCCTGTCAAGATGAAGGCTATGTACAAATTAAAGAATGATTATCTTAAGGAAGATGTGCCCCCCCCCCCCAGCATTGTAACATCAATCCAAATTGCTGCTTTGATTGGATTTAGCTTGTGGGGACCCCTGTCATGACAAATTGTATTTGAGGTGTATGATATAAAAAGGGGGTTATTTATTGTAGAGTGGAAGATGACAGAGAGAACGCAAGAGAGGGTTTCAACTTGTGACTATAAGGCTTCTCCATTTATTATATTTATTTATATTTCTATGTCACATTGAAAGAAGGGAATCCCAACTGTTACTCCTGTGTTGAAAAAAAAAAAAAGCCAGACAACCCTGGATCTCCGCCTTACATCTTGGGGGCTTACATATGGGAGCCTACCTCTTATTCATTAGACTGCTACACCACCTACTGGTGAAAATTCACCACTTTCAGACCTATAGGTTTGCATGTTACAAAACACCAACACGTGCCTTGTGTAACTCAAAATCAGCTGTTGTTCTGTAACCAGCAGAGGCAAGCTTCAGGACGGAGAGCATTATCAGTTTTAAACACACTAGACATGTTTTAAGGTTCCTGTATTTTTTTTTTTCCTGTTTCCTCACCTTTCACGCGAACATGCCTCCTTCAGTGGGTCCCGGAGAAGACGGTAAAGCTTTGGTAAGAAAGGTGTTGAGGCAAGTTCTTGTGGGTCGAGAGGATCCAGGAGGCTTTTTTGCAATGTGTCTGTCGGCACTGGGGCACCAGGAGACCCGGTCACAGTTTCTGTCCATCATCCAGCCCCTCTCCACGGCCAACATCTCCCTGCACTCCGTCCTCCTTCCATCTACAAGGAATACTTTTCAAAGGTTGGTAATCATCTGTTTAATTAACTTTTAACTACAACTCTGTAGCTTCAAAAAGAATGAAATAGCCTAATAGAAAAAGTAAAAACAAGTAACAAAGAACAATTAAAATAAGTCAGAGCAAAGGCAAAGTTGTATCTGAAGTGGTCTCATGTGTCCTACCTGTTCATGTGGCTCAGTATCAAAATACGATGAAATGACTCAAAGTTGTGACGCAAACGTGTCGGCAACGATTGAAGTTCTTCTAAAACGTGTAAGCAAAAACAATGTAGCTTAACATTGACATTTAAAGATGCAAATATAGTGATATTTTGTTGCCAAATTGTCAGTGTAATTGCTTCAACTGCTTACATTGGTATTTAGCTTTTTTTTGTCCACCAGCCCCCCTCAGAAAAACAGACTCTTTGACCTGCTAAATGCCCCTTTGACCCCTCGCTCTTCTTAACTGTACCCTGCTATCAATTAAATGACTGGTCGACTAATGCTAGCTTTTGTTAGCAAGTGTAGTTAGTTTTGTGGTTTTAGCCGAATATCATAGTCGAGAAACAATTAAATGTAAGAACAGAAAAACAGATACAGGTATCCCAATTTAAAATAATGAAAAACTAAAAGGCTTAGCTTACCTGAGTGATTTCATTATTCTTATTATTATTATTATTTAGGCGTTTTGAAGCCAATGAAAGAGAAGATGATACTAGTTGGCTTATCATTGCCAACAGAACCTCAATAGTTCAAACACTAAAAAAAAAATATATATATTTTTTATTTGATCATATACTACAAGACACTATCAACAACTTGGGCTATTCTTTTTTTGATAGTGTTACTGTTTGCACATGGGTTGTAAACTTGCATATCAAATCTTTTATCTGTACTTCAACTATAAGCAGTTCTTTAACAGCTATTTTATAATGGTTTCCCATATTCATTTGTAGACTGAAGATGATGAACTGGAAGTGGCATTGGCTCTCTCTCTACTGGAAATGAAAGATCACCAGTTGTCAACCCCCAGCAAGACATCCCAACTCCACCAACCTCATGAAAGTCTCAACCAAAGAAAGTCTTTTCAACTTGCTTCAGTACCTCAGCCTCAGGAAAGCAGTCACACCCAGCGAGCGGCTGTAACTGGAAGAAAAGAAAACCCCAACTTACCAAACACTGGAGCGAGAGTAAAAGGGAACCAATCAAGACAGAGAATGAGCAAGGACAAGTGCAACTGTGAGTGCCCCTATACCTTCAGAGCATTTCCTAAGCAAGACACAGTTGAAGGAGGTGACCAAATGATGAATATGGGAGATTTGACAGAAAACGAGAAACCAAAACGCTCAAAGAACAGGCGCCAGCGTCGCAAAGGCGCTTGCCATCATGTTGTAGGTTTGCCTCCTTCTCCATCAGCACGACCACCAGTACTGCTGTGGTTTAGGAGGGACTTACGACTTTGTGACAATCCTGCTCTCAATGGCTCATTGGAGGTTGGTGCACCTGTCATACCCATCTTCATCTGGAGCCCTGAAGAGGAGGAGGGACCTGGGATAACAGTGGCTATGGGAGGAGCTTGTAAGTTGTTAATATAATTATTTATTATGGCGTAAGCAGTTTCTTTGCATGTCTTTAAGCATGCCATACAGAAGTAAATGTTTTTTTTCCTCGCCTGATGGTTTTCCGATTACATTTTTTTGCAGGTAAATACTGGCTTCATCAAGCTTTGTCTTGTTTCTGTTCATCTCTGGAATGCATTGGCAGCCGTCTTGTCTTTCTCAAGGCAAAAGCAGCGAAGAATGAGGTTGGGCCAACTCTGCATTGCCTCAAGGAGCTAGTAAAGGAGACGGGAGCGACGACAGTCTTTGCTAATGCCCTCTATGAGCCATGGCTTAAGGACAGGGATGATGAGGTGGTGTCAGCCTTTAAGAAAGACGGTGTTGAGGTTAAGATGTTTCACTCGTACTGTCTCAAAGACCCTTACTCCGTCAGCACAGAGGGTGTGGGACTCAGAGGTCAGTCACAACAAATGGAAATTGGTGTAATGAGTTTTTTCTTCAATCATAACTAAGTTGTTGAATGATCTTGTTTCAGGAATAGGCTCTGTGTCTCACTTCATGAGCTGCTGTAAACAGAACCCGGGGTCTGCATTAGGAGTTCCCCTGGATCCTCCTGTATCTCTCCCCACACCTGCCCAATGGCCTCAGGGTGTGTCTTTGGACGGGCTAGGCTTGGCCCGCATGCCCCGCAGGAAAGATGGCACCACGGTCAGTATCTACAGCAGATCAGAGTTGTAGCAGCCCAAACTACATGTAAGGTATCATGAAGTCCTCAATGTTCTTCTTTGTTCATTATGGAATACAGATTGACTGGGCCGCTAACATACGTAAATCCTGGGATTTCACTGAAAAAGGAGCACATGCACGACTAGAGGCCTTTCTTCAGGATGGTAAGGCGTTGTGAATATGTCTTACTGTTTGTACTGGGGAATGGCATGAAGTAAGAATTTTTGATCCAATAGAAGCTTCCCGATTCTCCACGTTTCTTAGGTGTCTACAGGTACGAAAAAGACTCAGGTAGGGCAGATGCCCCGAATACCAGCTGCCTGTCTCCATACCTTCACTTTGGTCAGCTCAGCCCACGCTGGCTGTTGTGGGATGCCAAAGGTGCACGCTGTCGACCACCGAAATTCCAACGCAAACTGGCGTGGAGAGATTTGGCTTACTGGCAGCTAACGTTGTTTCCTGACCTTCCCTGGGAATCCCTCAGGCCTCCATACAAGGTAGAAATTGTAAAGTTGAACTACTCTAAGTCATGTTTGTCATGTTTTTAAAATGTTCTGCCTCAAATTGAGAAGATGTACTTTAAAAAAAATAAAAAAAATAATCAATATTCTTCTTCTGGTATTTTTAGGCTCTGCGGTGGAGTGTTGATCATGGCCACCTGAAGGCCTGGCAGAGAGGTCGAACAGGTTACCCTCTGGTGGACGCAGCCATGAGGCAGTTGTGGCTTACAGGCTGGATGAACAACTACATGAGACATGTGGTGGCGTCTTTTCTCATTGCATATCTCTACCTGCCGTGGCAAGAAGGCTATCGCTGGTTCCAGGTAAGCCATGCATGACTCTTAAGTTCACTCAAATAGACGTCATTCACAGCAACACACAAGATAACATCTCGTACCCGTTACTGCCTCTGTATCTCAACATTTTTTTGTTTTGTTTAGGACACCTTAGTGGATGCAGATGTTGCAATAGATGCCATGATGTGGCAGAATGGGGGCATGTGTGGTCTGGATCACTGGAACTTTATCATGCATCCCGTGGATGCAGCGATGACCTGTGACCCCTGCGGCAGCTATGTTAGGACATGGTGCCCTGAACTTGCAGATCTGCCTGAAGAACTTATTCACAAACCCTGGAAGTGTCCCACATCCATGCTGCGGCGTGCTGGTGAGGAAGTCATAATCATACGGCTGTTAGGGCAGCTATTTGCTTCTTAATATTTGTATTTAAAATTAATTGGAGAGTCAAACATTTTTTTAAATGTGCTACCTACATTGTGCAGGTCAACACCTTAACATACAGTTGATCTTACTTACTCTCCTTGTAGGTGTGGTGTTTGGCCAGACATATCCTGAGCGAATCATTACAGACCTGGATGAGCGAAGGAATCATTCCCTGCAAGATGTAGCTCTGGTGCGGAAAGAGTTTAGTCAATATGTGGACAAGCGCTCAGGCTGTGATTTGGTCCCATTGCCGCCACGTCTGGTCTCTGAGGCTCTGGGCTTATCACACAGGGACGGGGGTGTGGTGAAGGAAGGAAAGCAGTTCTTGTTGCCTGTCATCACCCGCATGGAATTCAAACACCAGCTAGAAGATCCAGATGCAGACGCCGCCTCAAATCCCTACAATGCCGTCTTAAAAGGATACGTGAGCCGCAAGAGGGACGAGACCATCGCCTTCCTTAATGAGAGAGATTTCACTGCCAGTGTGATGTACGAGGGAACCCAGAGGAGGGAGAGGCTTGAGAGCGATTATCGCAGAATGGAGGGACTCCCTACGCCTCCTGCAGCTCGGGGCAGAGCCAGAAGAACTCCAACAGCCAAGGACAGGTTTTCTGTAGTACCTGGTGGAGCAGTCACCTCACTCAGGTGACCCAGAGATCAAGATTGAATGTTTACAGGTTTCTTAATTTACCAGGCAGTTACGTGCCTATAACTGCTGAAATGCACAGTATGTTACAGTACACAGCTCTCCACTTTAAATCTACTACTAAGCCAAAGAATTGGCAGGAAAACTGAGATGAAACTACTGAGAAACAAGTTGACAAGAGGCTTGGTAGAAGTGCTTTACATTATGTACCCTGAGTAGTTAATTTAATCTAAACTTTTAAGCAATGGGATGGTATTTATTTCAACCTAGATTTAAGTTGTATTTCATACATGCATGCATATAAATTGTGTAAGAAACGCAGAATGAAATGGCATCAGAAAACGGACGTGGGTTACTTTGTTGATATTTGTATAAAGGGGTCTAGCTCAAGGCTGGAAATGTTACCTTTGTCTGCTTACGTGCATTTTACATTGGGATGACTAAAACTCTTTTCTCTATTTTATTTTAAGCAATGCAAATGTCTTTCTACTTGTATGACATTTAATATATGTGACCATCTTAAACTCTTTCAACTCATCAGCTGCTCAATACCTCACCTAGTTTTTGACATGATGCCCATATTTTAAATAACGTTTTTTACTTTAAGAAATAAAAAATAACAGAAAAGAATACGTTTCAGAAAGAGTTTATTAATTTACAGGTCCCTTGTCTACAGTGTAACTGTCACACATGCACTATAGGCCAACATTATCATTAACAGAGAAAAAAGTGCTTCTTTTAATACTAACAATTTTCTACATAATGACTTCAAGTTTTCTTTTGACTGAAATGCTTAAAAACTTCTACTGACTGAGTCTCTTGTTTAGGGATCTGCAACAACTGAAAATTGATGCTGATGCAGACTGACAGTCCTCTAGAATCAGTCTTTAACAGTAAATAAAGGAATATGAATCTTCCCAGCTCTACAACACTGGCAGGTCAGCAGCATCCACTAGTGGAGCTGCTGAACTCCACTGCCGGATGCTAAGCATAGCACTGCAACTGACAACTTTCTTTTTCTGCCAGGTGTGTCTGTAAAGAAGAGAGTTTATCACTTAAAGAAGGTGTGAGGTTAATCTTCAATAGAGCGGATGTATCTTTCATAGGCTGTTTCGTCCATTAGAGCATCGAGCTCTTCGGGTTTGGCAATGGTCATCTTCATCAGCCAACCTGCATTGAGAGGGAGAAAACAATGGTTAGCTAGCAGAAACTTCTGTATTGGTGTTTGGCAAACCTAAGCCAGTTTATCACAACTAAAATGTTTAAACATCAATAACACAGTTTTTAAAACAGACTTTCTTTTTCAACAAAAGTATAAAATACATGATCTAGGTCATCCATCTCAGTGAACACTATTTTCTTAGTCCTATGCCATAATTCAAAGTGATACTATAATTCTGACACAAGTTGAAAGACAGTTCAGTGTGATTGATAACCACTTAAACTAGTTTTAAATCTCTATATCTTTGTTTATCTTCGTAAATTAACATAAGGAAATATTGTTAATGTTTAGGAGGGAGGGTTTAAAAAAAAAAAAACAGGGAGATGGAGAATGGGCTTAAACATGAACAGTCATTGTAAGGACTGGGTGTAGTGTAAAGATGGTTCATACTTAAAAAAACCAAAATGTTAACTTTAAGGTTAATCTTCAAAAGTAAAACAAGAAGATACTCTACAGGGTAAAATATGAACCCTTCATGTGTTCATATTGTCATACTCAGCCAATGTTCACCAATCTAGTGGACCCAATGGTTTTTAAAACAATATAGTGATAATCATTTATGTAGAAATACTTTGCGGTTTGTGTTTACTATAGGTCAGTTTAAAGTGATTTGGACTGCATATAGAGGCAATATTTGCTGTTTACTTCTGTTAGAATACATTTAGTGAAAGTGTCATTCAAATTGCTTAGTGCAAAAACAACAAGGAAAGTAAAAAAAAAAACAACAAGATTTTGGTCTAAAAACATGTTTATCTTAAACAAATATAAATGAAAAGCGAAGTTTAAAAAAAAACAATTTTGGTGTTTTATTTTATTTAACCAGGAAAACCTTGTTGAGATTAAAAGGTGATTTTTCAAGAGTATCCTGACAGGCAACAGCACAGTTTAAAGGTTTCTGATAAACAACAGGCAGGCAGCCACACATACAAACATACTATAAATACACAACTATAATACTTTCAAAATTATTATCCAATGAGACCATCTTATTATGTTTTTAAGGTCTTTTTGTAATTCAGTTTCTGGGAAGGGAGCAGCAAACTTTAACTCCTGTCCTCCTCTGACTGATGTGAGAAGGTACGATGGGAGCAGCCCTAAAACAGCCTTGTAGATAAGAGTACTCCAGTGTTTAAGTCTACTTATGGACAAAGAAGGCCATCCAACATGTACATACTACTCTTTCATGTCTGTCACATGTGCTCAGTGTGAACCTTCTCTCATCTGTGAAGAGAACAGGGCGCCCAAGGCGGACCTGCCTTTTTTGGGGTTCTCTAGCGAATGCCAATCAAGCTGCATGGTGCTGGGCGGTGAGCACAGCTCCCACTATAGTACATCAGGCTCTCATGCGACCCTCATGGAGTCTGTCCACCATGCTCTTGAGACTGGGAGACACAGTAAACCTTCTTTCAACCGCACATATGACAAAGGTGGAATACCTGTGCAACCTGATTGGGCTGCATGAACCGCCTTAGGCTCAAGTAGTGACAAAGATACCAGCAGAACACAAAACTAGAGAAGAATCAGTCAAGAAGGATAAGGAGAGAGCAATTGTCTGTGGCCACTATTCCCTTCTCAGGATTGTTTTGCTTTTGTCTCTCCATTGCACCTGTTGTCACTTAAATTTACACCAAAGCAGGTGAAATTGATTTACGATCACTAGTGCTTCCTATGTGGACAGATTGATATTATTTTAATCTAACTGACTTGGTGTTATATTGTGATGATTAAGTGTTACTTTCATTTTTTTAAGCAGTGTAACTACATAGTAGTGCTGTCACTTAAAAGAACAACAACTTCTACATATAGTAGAATATGACATGAAGCGTTGGAACACATTCAACCTGCATCTCGTAAATCGCAGGATGTTGCTTTTGCCACAACGTTACAATCTTCATTTACTGAGGTCAAGAGTCCACGCAATGGTCAAGTTACACTGAGGGTGCCCTCTACTGGATCAAAATCCAGCTACTTCAGACGGCCTGATGTGCTGATAGACTGAATATTTTCAATTCGAACTGCACATTAAAGTTCAAATGTGAACTTTCTCCCCCAGGTTTCACTGAATGTCAATCTTAGAATAAAAAAAATGACAGCCCAACTATGTAGGGAGGCGAACAGTGTGCAGTCACCAAAAACATGTTCTTTTGTAGGCTCACAGAAAATGAACAAAGGCCAATGAGTTGGAGATTAAAAAAAAAAAAAATTGCATCATTTTTCTTTTGGTAAACATGGAAAACGGGCCCCACCGACCTGCCATCACACTAGTGTCAAGTCGTACAAAAAGGGGTCTCCGTCATATGGCTCTGAGCGCCCGGTTTTTCACAAGCTTGCAAAAAGGTTCACAGACTGTATACGACACCTTAAAGGTCTCTTCCCACTTTAAGTCAATCAAATGCACAGATGTCCCACCCTCCTCAATACAACATTGAAGGATAGGCCTATCAGCTGTAAAGAAAAAAGAAAAGGTAATGCTCCTGTCATGTTTGTCAACATCTGAATCTAACCTATCACAGCAATTGAAAAGATTCAATGTCCTCCATTGCCGATGTACAGCTCAGTACTAACACAGTAGAACGGAGGTTTTGCGCTTTCTGCAGACACATATTTTTGATAAGTGAAAAGAGGTGATGTGAAACACTGATATGAGTGTACAGAATATTCATTTAAGAAAAAAATTAAAGTGAAAAAATAAAATTTTCCTTGGACTTTGATGTGTGTTAAGATGTTTAATATGTGAACTTTGAACATTTAATTTTAAAAAAGAATACAGAAAATAGATTTCACATAGTTGTTGTTGTTTTACTTTAAGATGCTCTGATCCAAAATGTGAGCTTTGGGTTATTGATCTCTGAAGTAAACAAATGTATATCATGTTTTAATACTTTTAATTACGTAAGTACATACGCGAATAAACTTAAGCAATGTGATGCAAGTGGCTTTCAAATAAAAAAAGTTGGAGACTCTTGGACAAAACTATGGCAATACTGCCATCTACTGTCCAAAATGTAATAAAGCTTGAAAGCATTTCCCTCAAACCCTTATAACAATACTGGGTATAAATATGGTAAGTAGAAAAAAAATCTGGGAAAAAAGAAATGTATGATCAATCTATGTAATGTTTAAATGTTTGCAAACATGTACATGCAAAGCTTTTATCAGTAAAAAATTGAGTGAAATAAAATGTTGGTGCACAGGACAGTCTACTGGTTATATCAACGGCCTTATATACAGAGAGTTAAGTCCTGGAAGGTAACGACCTGGGTTTGACTGAAAAAGCTCTTTTTTTTTTTTTCAAAATACACACTGGCCAGTAATAAAAGTGGAAAATGTTTTGGGATGTAATCAATGACCAGTATGAATACACAAACTATAGAAAATACTTTATAAACAAAAGCCTTCTCTTACTGTCCAAGCTTTTCAAATAACAGAGTGACCTACTAGACGGTGTCATTTTAAGCTTGTGCTTACCATCTTTGTAGCAAGATTTGTTTACCAGACCCGGTTTGTCTGCCAGTAGTTCATTGACCTCTACAACTTCTCCAGTCAAGGGGGAATACAGCTCACTGGCAGCCTTCACACTTTCCAGAGCTCCAAATTCATCTGAAAGAATAGATGTCAGAAACAAATGAATTTACATCAGAGCGTCAGAAGTATGGAAAGTAAAGACAGAACTTCTTTATCTTTCGCCTTTCCGCTTGGATATCCATATCAACGTCTGTTAATTATCAACATATCTTGAGGCTGATGTCCAGATGTGCAAAGATTAGGCTGTTAAAATTTGCCCAAGCACATTTCTGAAATACTCACGTACACAGAAAAAGTACTGGTCTTAAAAATAATACTTAACTCTTCTTTAATACTACTCTTTTAGTAGTTCAAGCTTCATCCTCCAATACAAAATAATGGGACAGGCCTATAAGCCAATAAATGTTTTTATAAAGCACATTTAAAAACAACAAAGGTTGACCTGCTGTACAATCAAACATTAGATTAACACAAGAAAACACAGACCAATGTAAAAATGGATTAAGTCATTTGGGGGCCAGCTGCATCTGTTGGGCTAATGTAGTGGTTCTCAACTGGTGGGTCACAGAGTGTATACCTGAAAATAATGTCTCAAAAAGTCTGTGAATTTGCATTTTAAGCATGTTTGTTTTGTTCCTTTGATCAGTCACATGTTTGTATCTTCTGAGGTCCAAATGGTGATTTTTTAAATTAAATAAATCCGATTTGGGTACCGTTTTTTCATCAAGTGGTGGGTGAGTCCTGAGGTTAGACCAGTTGAGAACCATTGATCTAATGTCCTACTTGATCTAAAGTCCTACTTTT